TTAATGTCGCCTTTTCACACCACCTTGTCACATAGTTAAGGAACAAAAACAGCAAGATTATAATCCTGACAGTTAAAAAAAAGCACCCCCCCATAAACAAACCAAAAATAACACAAAACGAAACATATATATATTTTTTTGTTATATTTTAAAGAGCAGGAATAAAGAAAGGGGTTCACTGCTGGGTCTCAAAGTTAATAAACATAATAACGTGTTAGGTTGTACCTATGATGCTCACTATTCCAACCTTTTTTTTTTTTTTTTAAGTTTACAAAATGAATTACTGTCACTTTTAAACATTATGAAACAGGAAATGGATGCGCACAACTCGACACTTTTCTAGCATTCTTGAACTAATTCACAAATGCAAGAAAATAAAAGAAAAACAGGGAAATGATGAATGCAGGTAGTTCGTGTCGGAATCGAATGCGGGAATGACGCGCACGTCGCAGGAGGAGAGGGGCCGTCCCCGTCCTGCTTTGCGTGCTAGGAGGGTCGTCTTTAGAATTTTTATTATAAACACTATTAAATTCAGACCGCCTTTTTGGTTTTTTTTTTTCCTTTCTCTGAATATACAAGAACGTTCATGACCAAATGTTCAGCATTAGTTACTACAAAGAACGAGACACAGTCGCAAGAAACGATGGAAAATGTTAATAAAGCTGAAAGAATCGTGGAGTGTTTTTTTTTTTGTTTTTTTCCTAAGTTTTTTTTAAATTTGAGTTTCTGTAGTTTTATCTTTTTTTGGTATCGAAGTCAGGTTTTTCTGGGCAGAAAAATAAAACTCGGAAGGAACAGAGCCGGGGGGGAAGGTACGTGAGAGAAAAGGCAACCGGCAAATAAAGAGCCATCGCCGCGGCCAGCGACAGCCGCGCGGGGAAGGCGTCCCCTGGCAGGAGCCACGCGCGGGCGGCAGGTCCAGGCGGGAGGCGTTAGTGGGAGGGACGGCACGATGGAGTGCGACGGGGTGGGCGAACCCCGGGGCTGCTGCCGGGGAAGAGGGGGTTTTCCCGCCCCATTGGGAGGCGGAGTCGGGGGCGCACCTGGCGTCTGTGGGAGGGGCTGGCCGGAATTGCGGGTGTTGCGCCCCCACCTCCAGCCCCCTGCGGCCAGTGCTCCGGTGCGCGTTGGGCACGGGAGACCTGGGGGCCGCCACGTGGGGCGTGATCGTGGCCACAGAGGGGAGTGTGGGGACGCGACGGGGGGCCGCGTGACGTGCTGCTGGGGACGCTGCCGTGAGGGTGACGATCAGTGCAAGCGGCCGCGGGGAGGGAGGCTGACCTTCCACGCACCGAAACCGATCACGCGCCCGACCTTGCCTCCAGGAGAGCCCTCCGCGTGCCCTTTGCACTTCGCCCCAGGCAGGAGGATGGGACCCGACCTGGCCCTGTGTGGTGCTCCCGCCCGTCCCTGTCACCGACACGCTCTCCACGCACAGCTGTCACACGATGGCGCCTCTGGGACCCCCTGCCGGAGCCCTGCTCTGATCTCGGCGCAGGTGGCCTTTCCAGGGCCTCGTCACCAAGGCGTAATCTCACCTTGCCAGATAGTCACCTTCTGTATTTCCTTCCAACACACGCGCCCTCCAGTTTCTCGGGGGGCTGGCCCCAGCACATGCGCAGGGCGCTGTCTGTCACTCCTGCGGGCCACGCAGAATTCCCACGACCTTGGGAGCTGGCCGTCCTCATGCCTCAGGGTCTTGCACCCTCCCACAAGCCCCCCACGCAGAGTCTATGTGACGGGGACTAAGCACTTACAAAGCCGCGTACGGGATCCAAGCTCACACCCAGAGAACCGGCCCGGCTGCCTACCTGGGAGCTCATCTCTAACCTAGGAAACCGAACGGACCACAACAAAGACGAAAAGCGGCAACAACAACCCCTCTGTGTCATCGTGGGGATGACATCAGGGCCCTGGAGTTAATCAGAAGTTAGAACGGGAACCTGTTTCTTATCCCACGTGGCAGGAACCAGCTCATCTCCGACGCACCTCCCGACCCGCGCTCACAGACGGGACACGGCGAAGTCGGCGCCCGACGTGCCTCACGGGCCCCTGGCGAGCCAGGCGTGGCAACCACCGCCATTCACGGAGCAGGAAAGCGAGGCCACCGAGACCCGACCACCTGCCCCTCAGTGAGGGACAGAGCCGCCACCTCCGCGGCCGGCACAGCTGGCTATGGAGCGCGGGTGACGTCAGAGAACAGCTTTCTAGTCCCTGCTCCTGTCCCTTGGGTGCTCCCGGGGACTAAACGTCACCGCGACGATGTCACTGACGTCAGTCCCCGTTCCCTGTCACTCTCGGGTCCTCAAGCCCAGCTGGCACCCGGGCTGCTGGGTTCTCACACGCCTTCCTCCTCCAGACCGAGCAGTGGTGCCACGCAGAAAGTTAACGCAAGGTCCCTAACGCAAAACCAGAGCGAACGAGCCCGTCGGACGTCGTCAGCACCGTGCGGCTCCCTCCCCGAGGGCCCCGAGGTGCCGGGACCCGGCCCGTCCCGTGGGGGTCGCGCAGGCGTGCACACGCTGGGCCTGCCCGGCACGGGCTGCTCCTGTGTTGGCGACCTTCACGCGGAGCTGCTGATCCCTCCCGGGGGCTCTCACGATGTGGGCGTCTGGACGTGGCATGTGGCCGGCGCTGGGAAAGCCGATGCGTGAGGCAGTGCACGGCCCACGGGGCGTGTGCATGTGCATGTGCATGTGCGTGCGTGTGCGTGCGTGTGCAGGGACAGGTGGATGGTTTTGGGGGAAGAGCCGCCCCTCCTCCGTCACACACGCGTCACCGTGCCTAATTCACACCTGGCTCTGCAGGTCCTGGACGTCACTTCCTACGTGGTGCCTGGTCCCCAGGGACTGCGCCTCTGGAAGCCGGAGCCGCCGTCGGGAGGATGGCAGGCCCCAAGGCGGCCGCCCTCCCGCCCGGCCCTCTCCTGTGGTGACTTCCTGCGGGAAGGAGCCCAGGGCGGCGAAGCCAGACGCGGGTGCCCCCAGCTCCAGCGGGGCCCGGCGAA